TGTTTGCTCTGTTTTATTTTCTGTTTTGTTGTGTATGATTCTATATTGTCTTTATGTTTCAAAAGGTTTTTCGAAAAAAATATTTAAAAAAATTATGCAATAACAACCGCATTTGTATAAAGTAAAAACGGTAAAAAAATAAAATGAGCGTAGTGATAGACAGAATTACGAAAAAATACCTAGAAATACAGGAAAGTACCAAGAAGTACAAAGAAGTACAGAAGTATAGTTGTCTTTCCTTGCTTCTGACCGATCAATGTGCAATGAGAATATTTCGTTATTTTGTTTTTAACAATAACCTTTCTTATGCGATCTACTAGAGAGAAATGGCGTAGTTCATGTAGAAACGTACATCAAATTACTAAACTATCTCAAAATATGTAGAGATAATTCCAAGTACACTAAATTACTTTGAAAGTACGTCAAAGTACTTGAAAGTATGTCGAAGTACTTAAATATTTGAAACTTGGAAGTAATTTCAAGTAATTTGAACTATAATTTAAAGTGGCTTAAAATATCTCTAAGTAGTCCAAAGTAGTTCAAATAGTTTAAAGTATCTTCAAGCAGCTCAATGTAGCTTAAATTACTATAAAGTAGTTCAAAGTAAGTTTTAAGTAACTTAACGCAGATCAAATTAACTTCAAGCACAAAATTACGCCATTTCCACTGTTGGTGATCCATTGCAGTGCAATGTCTCAGTAGTTTTACCAAAGGGATAACATGATACTTTTCTACTTTCAACTACTTTAAAGTGTCTAAATTAACATAAAATACCGTAAGGTATCTAAAAGTAATATGAAGTATAGTAAAGTAGTTTTCAAATATCATTAAGATCTAACTGCTTGATAAAGTATCAATGACACTATTCTCTTACAGTGCAGAATTGCTAGCATCTTGATTCAATGAAATATTGAGTAAATTTTCTAAACTATGTAGTACTTTAAACAATAGAAAGAAGTTATCGTTATGTTACCGGGTAACTAACTGGTGGTAATTGAAAATTCGTTAGCATAATTTCTTAATAAGTGAATAATATTTCAGGAAATAACGAATTTTTATAAAATTTGCCGAAAAACTTTTGAGATGAAGAAATCCGAATCCGTAATCAGTTTCTCAAAATTCATTAGCTTAATTTGTCGATAGAGAAAAAATATTTAAGAGACATGATAATTTTTTTGAAGAGAAAGCGTGACATATTTTAACAAAGCGATTAGATATGCAGATTCCTCGATCTCGAAAATCTTTGGTGAAATTTTATAAAAATCCATTATTTCCTCAAGATACCCTTTCCCAATCGACAAATCCGAGTGAGAAATTTTGAGAAACCAGTCACAGATTTGGATTCGTTAACCTTAAAGACCTTTGGTAAAACTTAATAAAAATTCATTATTGTTCTGAAATACCTCTCACCTATCGTGACATTGGAGTGATGAATTTTCAGTTAGCCGTTATTTGTTATCTGATAACGTAATGACAACTTTCCTTGTCTAGTTTTATTCCATTAGCAATTCTACGTTGTTACAATTATAAAGATTGTATCTTTGATTTGATAGTTGTTAATGATAAAGAAACATATTGTTTAATACTAAGATACATGATTTTCATTTTGTTGAAGAGTTCCATGAGAGACTTGAATGATGCACTATATGCTATGACTGGTGATTATATAACTTGTATTTGATTTGTATAATTTCGACTTAAATAGAAAGTTTAACTAAAAACACAGAAAGAGATAAAGAAGTCCACTGAAGTACCTCAAAGTACGTTAAAGTATGATAAATTATTCTAATGTAGTTTCAAGTACCCGAAAGTACGTAAAATATCTTGAAGTATCTTAAAGTATTTTGATGTAACTTAAAGTTTGTGAATTATGAAGTATCATGTTCTCACTTGAATTTTGCTCTGTACATGGTATCGATTAAAAACAAATTTTCTTGAATCAGAGTTTTTCATTAAAAAAAAAATTAGTTGATTGAATACTATTGATCAATCAATCTAACTTGATTAATTGAAATCAGTATATGCTAATGAACTATATATATACTTGACTAAAAACAAACAGAATAAGTAACTTTATAATTGTATGTCTAATGCTTAAGGGGAAAAAGGGAAACTTTCGTATTTCATCCGTATTTCACTGTACTTCAAGGATATATCAAAGCTATACTCTAGAACTTTTTAGCTTTTCAGATCTTCTATCAATGTATGTCAAGAGTATTTTGTTTTCAGTTCATTTTATATAAGTCTTTCTAGTATTAAAATTCGAATATTTAATCGTACTTCATTGATATTCAAATCTTGAAGTACAATAATGTATTTGAGCTTTATTCTCAGACAGTCTTATAACAAATGAATTCAAAATCATATGCTCATGACACACGTTGATAATAGACTTGAAACAGCTGAAAATTCTACAGAAAAAATTTGACATAACTTTCGAGTATGCTGGATTACAATGAAGTACTGATGAAGTACGAGCGAAGTACAATGAAATACAACTTAAGTATGCACTCTTGAAATCTTGTTTTTTCCCTCTTGGGTTTTTATATAAAACTATGAAATCGAAAAATGATCTTATTACCATTTGTCCTTTTCGAAAGAAAGATGTGTAAAAGCGATAGACGAAATATCTCATTAATTCCAATCGGTCATAGAAAGCAATCGAGAGCGTGTTCATATAGATAGAGTATTATTATAATTTAGGTTTTTTAAAAAAATTTCTCTTGAAAACTATCTTTTCATCAGATGTTAATAAATAGTACTGGTAAAGAAATAAAGATGACATGAAAATCAAATGCAAAAAATTCATGCATTGTAATCTTGTTCGTACATTTCATCACGAGTTTTATTTAGAGAAATGAAATTTTGAGAAATTAAAGATCTTAGTTGAAGATATAAGTGATTGAAATTTTAGACTTGTGCATCAAAAAACTATGTGAGAAATATCGTAGAAAATTTATAATCAGTTATTATGGAAAAATCGTTTATTGTCACAATTATTTTCTTCTACTTTATGATTCATATTAATAGTATTCAGGTAAAATCTTTTAGAAAACATACATCAGAAATAATGAATAAAAAGCAGAAAAATATTAGTACATATTTTCATATTAAACAAGACGTCTAAAAGTAATATAGATCAAAACGTCTGACAACAATCAATAATTAATAATTATTATCATTTCAACAACAAGAATCGATTGTTTCTATCGAAAAATCCTGTATATATCTCTAGACATTTGGAACACATACTGAACGAATCGCCATTAGAAATTATTCGAATCGGCTACTAACTTACTTCACCTGTCTTTGTATGAAAGACAGTTGTTTTTGTTTTTTTTTCTTCTTTTACAATATTGCAATTTCGCAACATCATAAGAATCTATTCGAATACTTATTGTTTTATTGAACTTTTAAAATATTATGATCGATATAATGTTGCTCGATTGTATCTAATAAAAACAATTAAGAATTGAGTTTAACCTAATTGTAAGTAAGAATTCAAAACTTGATCATAGAACTTTCAATATAGATTGAAACTTTCTCGATTAATTATCAGCTAAAAATGTATTCATTTTTTTGTAGCAAAAACGATATAAGATGATTTACAAAATATTATTCATTAGAGAATTTAGAAAAGGAGAAAAATGACCAAAATTAATTGAAGAGTGTCTTACTTGTAAAACGATTTTATAGATAAATAAAAAACTTCAGACATTCGAAATATTCTGAAAGATCTCTATCCATTATGTTCAAGAATATTTATCGATTTGATTTACTAATATATACAGTTTTAAAATCTCTCCGAAGCTGAACATTTGCTTATTCTTTTGGTCAAATACATGTTTATTTGTTTCAACGAAAATTTTTATTTCAAATTAACTTAAATTTTTCTATGAAATATCGTTTTTTTTTTTTTCTGTCTCAAAAATATGAAAAAAGATATTTATTTAGATATTTATATATTATTATTCAATTAAAATCGAAAAACAAAAGCAAATAGATATTACATTAGATATTAAATCTATTGTAATTTAAAATCTAATGTCAAATAAACAATATATCATGGAAAAGGCAGGTAACGCACAGACATTTTTTCAACTTTCAACGAATGTATCTAGAGAATGATAAGAGGGAAAGACTTGTAATTTTTAAAAAATATGTAAGTAAACAAATTCTATAATACTTGAAAGTTTGAGTCTCAACTGTCTATCTGTTTGGATTTTATGAGTAAAATACTGGTTGGTAACGCACAGACAAAAAAGGCCCTCGGTTCTTCGTAGGTGCGAAAGAAGTGATAAACCCTGCGAATTACTCCATGCTAATGAATTGCACGGGAGAGAGTTTTGTAGCTAAAAGTCAGGGCTATCTTTTGGTAAAGAGAAAATATTGATACCTTGAAAAATGAGTGAACTATTGACAAAACATTAGGTAACGCACCGACATGAATTTTTTTAACAAAAATCCTAGATATAAAATTTTATTTCGTATTTGGAATTATCGGTTTAGAACATCAAAGTAATGATGTTCATTTGTATTTCAAGCTGTCACTACTGTTTTTATGTCTAATAATGGGTCCGTTTTTGAAATATGACACGAGACAACAGAGCTTTTTCAAGTCACTTTTGCACAAAAATACTGAATTTTGGCTGGTGACTACCATTTCTTCTCTTAATTATTAAAAAGAAATTTCATACATCGACGTAGAATATACGAAAACCTACGTAAAAACTTAAAATGAGTAAGATCGATTGTTTTGTGTCCGAGAATTTGAGCGCTCAACTTCAATCATGCTGATTGACCGTTAGCCGTTTTTCATGATATGTAAAAAAACAAATAAATAGGAGTCATTTTCTTTGTTTCTATTTTTACAATTTAAAAAAAAATAAAAAAATAAATAAGTTAATCAAAATATACATCGGTTAGCGAATTGATAATGTTGCTAGTAATTTAATTCATCTATGAATTATTTGTAAAGCTTCTATAACATATCTCGATAGTTATGATACATCAGCAATATGTGCATGTACAATAACAACATAATTTTTGTTATCCAAACTATATTTAATCATAAATCTTCGTGTAAAATAATCATCAATCAATAAAATAGATCGAATATATACATAATCTATTTGTGATGGTAGATAAACTTCAATTGTTAAACATAATAATTCATATAATAAAAATTCATATGATGATGAAAAACATACACGTATTGATAAATCTAAACGATAATAAAAACTAGTTATAATTGTAGCTAATTGAATATAAATTAAATCAATAGAATTCAACATTAAATTTACATCATTTAGATTTATTGTTCTTGCAGTTGAGATATATATGTTCAAAAATTTCTTCTTGTTCATCACTAATTTTATAGTGATCATCAAGAAGTAAATGTTGAGAATGTTCATTTTGAGAATACTATAAAATAAAGAAAGATTAACTATTCACCAATCATTTGTTTTAATGATGATTTTATTTCAATTACGATAGTTTCAATATTAGAAAAATATATATTCATTTTAATAAAATTTAATTCGAATACTTACAAAATCTTATAAATTTTATTATTGAAAATCGAATTTCATGTTAAACAAACAATAATTTCTGTAAATAAACTTGCAGAGAAGAGTAATCTAACGAGGAGATGTCTCTACATATGATTTTTTCTTGTTTTTTTTTTTTTTTTTTCAATCGGTTTTATTCCATCTTGAAGAACTCATTGGATTAATCAAGATGACATAATGTGTTCCAAATAAAAGATTATCATTGAAGTATTTGGTCAATTTTAACTTCAGAAAAACGACTGTGAAATATTATATGAGAAAGTTTAAATTTTTATTTTAATTTAATTCTCAACATTGAAAAATTTTCCACTAGACGCGCCTTATGATATAGCTTTTGTTACTTTTGTTTAGTCTAAGACCTCAATAACATTCATACATGGAGCTAGTCTGTATTTTTCACGAGTCATACTGATTTTATCTATGTTCACACTGTTTTTTATCAATAAGATAAATAGTTTTACTTACGAGGGAAACGCCCGAGGTGCCCAACGCCGATTCCCTTCATTCATAGGCCGTTTGATAGAGGGCATCGAGATAGTAAAAAGCCTAAAAGGATTTATGCCCACGGCTTTTTCTTGAAAAGTTAGGGCCAATTTTCTGTTCTTCCCAGCTAAAATGGCCAAAATTTGAAAACCTTACAATTCAGTCAAGAAAGATCGTATACACTTGAAATTTTCAGCACTACAAGCTCACAAGCACTGCTGATCAATCTGAAAACTCTAGATTGTTTAGTTGTTTCATTCTTGACTTACAGAAGTTTTGCTTGGCATGAAAAAGTACACTCCTGCGGTTATGTAGAGTGTTGTCTTTTTTCAGTTTTAGATAATTCATGCCTTCTGTTTTCATTTCCATCCTTTGTTAAATGGTTATTAACATTTGGTGACGGGGAATACATGGTATCGTTTAACAGTCTTTGTTTGCAAATGAACAAAAAGTCTTGAGAGTAAGTACATTGATTATGATGAACGGTATAAAGAAGTATTAGAATCAGCTGATATAATTCATCACTCATATGCATTGCACTATATGTTGTGATTCTTCTACTTCCATTACGTCATGCATTCTTCCATCACGTCATATGTACTTTTCTATCACACATATCTTTCTATTCTTCTATGGCATCATATGCGTTCTTCCATGACGTCAGGTATTCTTTTATCCTTTCATGGTGTTATATGTATTCGTTCATTACGTCATGATTCTCCTCTAGATCCTTCTATACAGCACGATGGTCAAAAGCTGTATATAGTTGCTGAGGTTTACAAATAAAATGTGTATATATATTGAATACAGTTATCTTTAGATATTACGTAACGCAAGCAATAAGGTTTCCGCAAGAATCAACTTTACAGCATACAGATTGAGAGAAGTACGACTAATTTTAAGAATACTATTGTTTGTTCTTATTGTAGGCCGGATTCGACAGTCAAGAAAAATGATAAACCCTCACAACGTCTAGCGACTTGTCTCCAGCTACATTACCGAATTACTACCATCCATTGATTTAATTCATGCGTGTACATCACGCGACGAAGACGTGGCACGAAATATTTTTGACAGTATCGAATCAATCTTGAACTGCACTCACTATAACTTCGAAAGGGAACAAACGTTATATTTCACTTACAGTTTTGATCAACAAGCTGAAGAATCAGAAGTTGAATCAGATGATGAAAAAGACGAAAGTTACATGGAAGATGCTAACGATGATGAAGAGAACAGTTTACTACACGAATTTTCGCTTCAGTACATGAAGAAAGTCGTTGATTTTTACGATAAAATCAATTTTGACACTGGTAAAAGGAAACATTCTTGGTCCAGTCTTCGGCATTATTTCAGAAAAGTCAAGGATAGAAGCTATATCGGGCGTTTTCGAAAATACATTGAACATCAAGGTACAAAGAAACAAAAACTTGAAGAAATTGATTCGTTCGTTTATGAATCATTTGAAAAAGCACGTGAACAATTATTGTTTATACGCGACACGACATAGATTTGAAAAGATGGGAACTACAAAAGGCACGTGAAATAAATGATGAAAGTTTTTCTGGAAGGTAAGATTATCCTAACAGCATTGCTCGAAAGTTTCTGTTGGTAGCCTTCTTTCTTTCATTCTCCTATACAGTTCCTATTCTTCCTGTCGTATGACATGATAGAACAAACTGTGTGGGGCTTAACGAAGAAGATAGAAAACATCGATTTTAACGCTTTTTTTCTCTGCGTGTTTCAGCGAACACTGGATTCTAAACATCGTCATGGGATTTGCAGCCGGCATGTAACAAAGCTAGTAACAAAGAGAGAAGTCGAAAGCGCAGACGAGATCAATAAATCAGCTGATGTTTTTACCTGTGACGTACAAAAGATGTTGCCAGATTACGATCCTCGTTACGTATTAAACACAGATCAATCCGGTTTAGAATTGGAAATGTACTCCAATCGGACGCTTTCATTTGAAGGTGAAAAGCTCACACTCGCTAAAGTTCGATCATTACACAATACTACTCACAGCTACACGGTGCAGCCGATTCTGTCATTGGCTGGTACTTTGGTTGGCAAATTGTTTCTATGTCTTAAAGAACCGAATGGACATATGAATGAAACTATCAAACAAAGCCTATTTCAGGCGGATAATCTAATAATTACCTGTAAGTTATCCATCAGCTATGTTTTCATGTTTTTGTTCCTTTTCCTTTCGACTGTGTACACCATTCTACCATTGTTTTGTGGTGGACGAATAGCAGAACACAAACAATGTGATGCCGCGAAAGAAGAAGGGTTGAAGAATGAATGTCTAACGTGTTTTCTTCAAATTTTAGGTAGCAAATCAGGAAAGCTAACAACCAGTCTTGCACAATATTGGAGTGATCATGTACTTTTGCCTTTGGTTGGTGACAAAAAAATGTCTGCTCTTAAGTGATTACTGGGGTGGACAGAGGACTGAAATGTTATATAATAAAATGAAACATTTAAAGCGACTTGAAATTCCAAAAAAGACAACTTCAATGATTCAATCATTGGATGTGAGGTGGAATCGTCAGTACAAACACCTCATTCGAGAAACTTACAATCATGTTCGTCTTTATGATTTGAATTTCAGTTTAGCTCAACGAAACAATATTATAAAAATGAATAGTTTGGCCTATAATCAGCTGTCTTCACCGAAGTTCATCCCAATGAATCTTTATGTGTGGTATCAATCAGGATATTTGAAATCAAACCCTGGTTCCTTTCAGAATGTTAAGGAAGTTTGTTTTTCGTTTTCTGAAGCTCGTTGTTGCCAACCAAATTGTAGAAATGCACCGTTTCTAAAATGTAGTTTCTGTTCAAAGGTTATGTGTTTCTTGCATTTCTATAATAGCTATCACAAACATTGAGATTTTTTCTTTGTTGTAAGCTTGCTCTCGTTCGTTTTCTTTGATTTCTGTTAAACGTATAACCAAGATAAAGAGTTTCAAAAAATAGTTCGTTTTGCTGCGGTTTTGCTTGTATAAGATTTTTGATAAAGAAAATATCTTTCTAATGTGAGAGATCTCTACATGGCAGATCGGAGATGACGTTCATTCTCGGATGGACCGCGAAATTTCTCACACAACATTGAGTTTTCTTACTTCTGAAGCTCTCACACAAAAATTAGATTTCTTCAGACTACGGAATTCCTGTTTTTAAATGATAAACAAAATCCTGTAAGTCAAGAATGAAACAACTAAACAATCTAGAGTTTTCAAATTGATCAGCAGTGCTGGTGAGCTTGTAGTGCTGAAATTTCAAGTGTATACGATCTTTCTTGACTGAATTGTAAGGTTTTCAAATTTTGGCCATTTTAACTAACGAGGGAGCATTCCCAAGTGATCCGCTCCGTTTGCCTCCATATTTTGCCCATATGTAGGGGTTATTATAGTAAGAAAAAGCCTAAGAGGATTTGGGCCCTTATTGCCTCTTTCAAACGTTCTG